AATAGCAATATCAAGAGGATCCTTTCGATTCTCTGTGTCCCTCACAATTTTTGTTTCCCATTTCCATTCAATAAAAAAAAGGGATCGACCAGCATTAAAGGTAATAAAAACTACAGTCAACCGTGATGTGTGCGGCCAATGTTTGGTGTTTATGAGCTATTTCCCCAGTAAACAGTTTGTGCAGCCGTGACGGCCAGGCTTATAAGCTCTGGTAAACAACACTATCACAGCATTTCTTAATGGCTCCAGTAAGCCTATAGGCCAAGAAAATATATCATGGCAATTTTTCCCTTGACTTTCAAATTGAACCATGTTCAAATATCTAAAGATAGTGGATAAGCCCTTCTTAATGCAGTAGGGATATTCGCCTGTACCCTCCGACTTTCCAATGGGTCAGGCCCAAATTTGGATAGGCTTGGACTAGTACTGGCCTACTGTCTGAAAAATGGCAGGAAAATTTACTAAAAAAATTGTTTTTCTGTTACGTCTGATGACAAACAGCAAAGTGCGTTGCCCATGCCTGCACACAGCCTTGTAATTTGTCTGGTGGAGCCATGGAGACCACATGCTGGGGCTTTGGTTTCAACACAAATATGTGAATATTTGCAGTTGAAGGGCTGGATGGAATGTTACACATGTGTTAGCCTATGCCTGTTGTCTGTCTGGCAAAGGATAGTAGTAAATTTCTCTCACTGAAGAGTATAGCATTCCTTCCTACCATTACATTATTAGGAGCAAGTATGGAGATCAAAGTCAATATCACGTTCAAGGGGTGGTGGCCATTAACACTGGGTCAAGTTCAAAATGAATGATGGATGTTTTGGAAGCGTAAATTGTGATAGTCTTGAGGTTGGTTTTGGCACCTCTTCTTGGACACACTCATCGCCACAGAAAGAATCTATCAGTTCCGTGTTAATGGGCAAGCGAGGAGGAGTCTCCCAGAAAAATGCTCCAGCACTGGTCAAGGTCAGTGGAAGGGTCATAGTGATCTCCAAGCAGATATTTGAAGTGAAAGCCTGGAATGGGCTTCTGTGACAGACCTTAATTCACCCCAACATCTGTGGGTGACTGTCAGAGAAGCCTGGCAGTCAGACTGATCTTTCAACCTTAAGCATCTGCTTGAAGATTTGGGTCATTGCAATACAGAGAATATCCAGACCCAGACACACGATTCAGAGCTTGCTGCGCTTGCTCCTTGAAAGGGAATACACTTTTTTGGGGGGTTGGGGAGGACCACAAGCTATTTTTATGAGCTCTGTAATATGTCTCTTACACAAAATATGTCTTTTGAGTTGTGCTTGGGATTTGAAGCTGTCAGAACATGTTGTACTGTGTGTAACTTGTACATGTGGCACTGGATATTCCCAGTCTACGACATTCTGCACTGAAGCATGGGCCTCCATCTTATACATGTAGTAAACGAACAAGACCTATACATGCTTAAAACATATACTACATGTAGTATTGCCACAGAATACAAAAGCAGTGCCCCACCCCCTCCACTAATAGTCATAGACATATTGTAACACATTCAGTATAAAACATTTATCAGGTTGAAATTGAATTATGTTCCTGTAACCTGTTGTGGGTAACATCATTTGCCAGCAATTTGCATCCATGAAAACAAGAGGGCACCAGTAGTGAGTTTCCTACAAACCAAGTCTTTCTCCAGTCTTTGCTGTTTCTGTGCATGCATAGCTTACAAAACCACAAGAAACGGAGGCACAGGTTCTGAAAAACCTCAGCTGTAACATCAATGGCCGGCAAGCACTTTTGTACTACTGGTGTATATCTTACATTATAGCTTATGGACAGACATTTTGCACATTGTAGACAAACTAACCATTTTTAAACTTACAATATAATTGACACTTTAGCAACCCTCTGAAAACACATCAGCCTTCACAGCTTGCCTTTTTTTTACTTGCCCAAGCTTCAAGTTCACAGTAGATGTCTGAGCATTGCACAAGCCTGCGTATTCCAACAAAGAATTAGCCACTCCGAAAAAACAGCTCTTCTTGAAAAGTTGAGTCTCCGGAAACTGTATGTAACACTACTAGAAGTGAGCCCATGGCTAAGTGCTGGGTAGCCTGGTTTACCTATTGTTACAACAACACACAGCAAGTTCCGCTCGAACTGGAGCCATCCTTCCCTGAGGCCTGTCGGTTCGCCTTGTCCATCCTGATTTCGCGCACCAGCGTGTAGAACGCGTCCTCCACTCCTAGCCGGGTTTTTGCCGACGTCTCAACATAAGGGATGGAGTAGCTCTGCAGAAACAAAATAGGGTTTTGGAAATACAATATTACAAATCTTATACAATGAGGCACAAAGAAAGTGAGCCGACAGCTACCTACCCATGCCAGGGGCACTCGCAGCAGTATATCGTAATCATACAAGTACTGTATATCTGTATACTAGTATACTGTAGCACGTAGGCAGAATTCAATGCACTGCGCCTGCGCAAAAACCCCATTTTTCAGTTTTCATTGGATTTTGGTAAACGTTGCATCAGAATTTTGTCTGTTGCAGATGATATTTTTTCCGACATAACATTTGGAAACTACAGACGGAGTGTTAAGCTTATACGCGCTAATACGTCCTTATATGAGACGTTCTGCCAAAGTGCTATATGCACAATACATTACGGGTTTCGCACAGGTGCAGAACGTTCTGCCGACCTGCTGTATCTTATCTACTGGACAGTCCCTGAATCCTGAACCAATTTGGCACTCTGTCCTCCCACATTAGGGTCACATCCAGAGGTATTCCACAAACCTGCATGATTCTGGGTAAATAGGTCACTTCTGCATGGGACTGCTTCCAAGAAAGCTTGGATAACAGACAAACAGGTGATGACCAAGGTAGATATTTGGGGAGGGGGGATGTGCTCAGCCAAAATTCCTTATTTAGGAACAAATCTTTTCTTTGGGATCTTGCGATGGATAGGCTTAATCAGCGAGATTTTCAGGACTGTACTTCATACATTGTAATGAGACTCCCTTGGGGACAAGATAAAATGTAAGATATTCCTGTCTTATCTTAGAAGATTTCTTATCCTTGAAGGGTTGAGTTATGTCCTTATATGCCCCTGAGATGTGTTTTTCCAATTACTCAACTCAGACTGCAAGATAAGTCATCTGTTGTACATGGAGCAGTGGTGACATACCCAGGGCTCAAAACACTTTTTTCTGCATACCTGCACTGGTGCACGTAACATTGAAAATTACAGATTTGCAATCTATAATGACAAGTTTTACCTGCACCTATCAAAGCAAATGTATGGATCACACTGAAAACTGTGTTCAGAAACCATTGCCATCATTTTTTTTCATTCATCATAGGTGATAACACTAAATGAAACAAATAAAAATCCACATACACCTACATTTGCATATACAATACATGTAACGTGTTACATGTATGTCCAGTATGTGGACCTGTGCAGGTTAGTGACAGGTAGACATCAGAAAAAGCTGAACAGCTCCAATTCTATTCAAGGTGAATATTTGCACCCACGACCCAGTCTTTCGAGCCCAGTGCATGGAACAGTGGTAGCATGTCAGTGTCTTCACTAATTCCACTAAATGGTTGTTTATACTTTGCCTAATTTGAAACCTACAAGCAATTAGTGAAAGGCACTCAGACAAATAGGAATGGAACTTGGAAGGCATGCATACTTCTCTGAAGCGGCTTTCACGCGGTTCTGGAAGAATGACACATTGGATTGGAAATATTGTTGTCTAAATGAACAGATAATCAGATTTCTACAGATAGAAACAGTATTTAAGGCTTCTTGGATAGGATTTATATGTAGCCATGATGATTGATGGGTCAAAACACTGGGTGCATATATGCACCTTAGTGCAGGTAAAATTGCAGCTGTGCGGGTATTTCTGGTGTCTACCTGCACTGGTTCATATAACTTAATGTTCATGTTATTGTAGGTGTAGTCATGTGGTTTTTATTTGCTGCATTGACTTGCACTAACTTGCACATACCCAGTACATGGACCAGTACAGGTTAGGTGCAGGTACAGGTACTACCTGCACAGCTCCAATTTTACCTGTGCTAAGGTGCATATGCACCCAGTACTTCAATCCCTGATATAACACTCTGTTCCTAGTACCATGTCAGCCTGTACAGTAATACAGGAAATACTTCCGCACAGAGTCAGGGGGTGTTAGGAAGCTATCCAGGAAACCAGTACTACACGGGGGCATGGCTCTGGGACAGGCAAGGGTTTCATCAACACTGTGCACAGGGTTGTCAACACACCGTCTCCTTATCAAAAGGGTGTACCACAACAGCATAACTCACTACTTGTTGCGGCAAGATTTACAAAGGAGAACTAAAGGAGCAAAAAAATTAACTTGAACAAATCTTGAAACACACATGTGCAAAGCACCTGAGGGCAAAAGCACCAGAGCAGAGGGGTGCAATAAACAAAGATGGCACCAAGAGACCACGTCTTGGAGAAAAAAATCATAGACCTAAGCACGGACAACAACAACAACCTCTTGTTTATGTTTTAATGTGATGATTAAATTTAATGGTGGTCAGGTGTCACTGTGTTGTCGTCTGCCACAAACACCCCTACAATGCAGTGGCACGGTCCGGTACAAAATGCATGCTCTGACTGGCGTGTGGTGGAATTTTGAACAGAACAGTTTAATACCGTTACCTTGGCCATGTCCTGTGCTTGTTTATTGTCCACCACTCGCTGCGGTAGATCGGCCTTGTTCCCCACCAGGACCATGGGCACCTGTTCCGAGTCCTTTACCCGCTTGATCTGTTCTCGGTACATCGAGATGTCCTCGAAACTCTTGGTGTTGTTCAGGGCGAACACACAGAGGAACCCCTCGCCGGTCCGCATGTACTGATCCCGCATGGCACTGTACTCCTCCTGCCCGGCCGTGTCCAGTATGTCCAGCAGACACGTTTCCCCGTCGATCACCACCTGTTTCCTGTAAGAATCCTCGATCGTTGGATCATACTCGTCCACGAAGTGGTTTTGGATCAGCTGGATAGTCAGGGCGCTTTTTCCCACGCCTCCCGCTCCAACTACCACCAGTTTATACTCCGTCATGATGTCCAGTTCTTTACTCCGTCTCTCTCGGCTACAAGCGCATCCAGACGCGACCGGAAGCCCTACTGTCCCTTTGTGATGTTCTTCCCGGCACTTACCTGGGTTTTAACTATAAAGGAGGCCTAAAAATAACCCCGGTGAGTCACTTGAAGCTTCCAGTGCGGCTTTCAGAAACGGTGGCCCGGTCCGAGCTACGCCCTAGCGCAAGGCATAGTGGGACATGGAAGGTTAAAGGTCAGAAAGCAGCTGGGACATTATTGCACAACAACACACAAATCAGGGACATGAAGAAACTTCTGCAGAACTATTTTAAGTATAAAAGTTGCATTTGATAGAAGGTAATGTGATGACAACCTTTTCCAATCATTAGATGGAAGTGTTCTGTTTTGTATGCAATTCATGTATTGTGTTTTCGTTCGTGCAAAATGTGTGTGTAGTGTACACGACCTTACATGTAGTATGAGAAACTTTTGCAAATTATACCATAGTCTCCTAAGTCGTGTATACATTTGTATTTTCTTAACATACAGGCTCCCTACAGATGTGTGTTTGCATGTATTCAGGGGGAGGGGCACTATACCTTCATTATTGACTAAAGCCTAACCCTAAATTTCTTACTGTTCTTGTAACATATATATATAAAGGTTACCATATAAAGAAGACTTCAGGATGAGTGCAGCCTCTGGTGATGTCCCAGTTGCCATAGTAACAGGATCCTCCCAGCGTCTGGGGGCCTGCACAGTGAAGCATCTGCACCAGGCAGGGTATAACGTCATCATCCACTACAGGAAGTCACAGGGTCAGGCTGAGGAGTTTGCACAGAGTTTGAACAGGTATGAAACACAAGGGGGCGAGTAGTACAGTCTGACCCGTGGCTATCACAAAATCACGCAAAACCTAGCCGCGGCGACTGTTGCAGGGCTTCTCTTGCTTGCAGTCTTTTACATTAGCCCTAACAACAGGGCTAATGACTAAAGCCTAACCCTTTTCTTACTGTTCTTGTACATATCCTAACAACAGGGCTAATGTAAAAGACTGCAAGCAAGCCCTAACAACAGGGCTAATGTAAAAGACTGCAAGCAAGAGAAGCCCTGCAACAGTCGCCGCGGCTAGAAAAACCCAGGCTGCCAGCTCATGATACCAATGCACAAACCGCAAGGCTAAAAGGTCCAGATTTGTTAGACTGGCCAGTTGGTGGCACTTGAATCACACCGTTACAGGCATAACACTGTTTCAGCACTTTGGTGTAATCTATGTATTAAGGGCTTGTTGATGAGTTTTTTCATTACATTGGGGCCAATGTATAACTGCGTGATGCATGTCTTACATGACCACATTTTTAACCTTTAATGTTGTTTATTTGCAAAATCATGCCCGAAGGCTAATTGCGTGTACAGTCAATTATACAGAAACAGGAGACAGGTAACAATCTGTCTGGAAAAACCTCTACTTCTACTACTACTCTAGCTATTAAGGGGTTCGACTTCTTCTTTGAAGGCAGTGGATAATGAATAGTCCCACATTCTGCATAATTAGTGGGTTTTGTGATCTTAGTAGAAATGTAGTCTTTTGGTGATCTTCTAAATGACGAAATGATGGAGAGATTGTTGTAACTGTCTGAAATAATCTGTTTCTTTCGGTCTCGTAGTGAGGACACTGGCTAACAAAATGTGTTTCATTTTCCACTGCATTCATTGTACAATATTTACATAATCTCTCATGCACAGGTAGTTTTCTATAGCGACCTTTTTCTATCTCTAGTGGATGCGCACTTATTCTAATCTTACACATGGCAGCTCGTTCGTCGAATTCATTGTGGTATAGATATTTTTCCATGGAGTATTCGGATTTGACGGTCTTGTAAAATCTTAGCTTGCCGTTATCTACAGACAATTGGTGAAAGAACGTTTGAACATACATATCGGTTAGTCTTCCCTTCAACAATGTACATATATTCTTGTTGTCTAGAGTACAGTGGTTGTTGTTCCATAAAAAGAATAGCCTGCATTGTTAATTATTTCTTTGACATGGTGTAGCCAACTTTTCTTACCACTATTTCCCATATTGTGTTGCTGACAGAGTAATGCATCTACTTGTAAGGGGTGTGTGAAAGTGTCCAGTTGTTTGAGTCTTAACCAGTATTTAACTACACGGACGGATACATCTATATCATCTGTTGGGAACAACCCAAGTTCTGCCCTACTTGCTAGGTTACTAGAATTCCTGTGCACACCAAGAATATTTTTACAGAAGCGGTTCTGAGTTATCTCTACAGGACAATTGTCATTTGAATAATCTTTACCCCCAGATCTCACAGGCGTATAACATTATAGATTTGATGCACGCATCAAAGAGTTTGAGTAAGGCCTTGGGGGACAAAGAGGTGCGGATGAGGGGTTTTAGACTAAATATTGCTTTACGAGCTTTTAAAGATAATTGTTTTTTGGCCAAAGAATAACTGCCAGACGAAGACATAATTATACCTAGGTAGGTATATGAGCTTGTGATTTGGATATTTTCTGCGCCAAAGGAAAATTTGGTGTTCTTGAATGTTCTTCCTGTTTTGTTGAAAATCATCACTTTGGTTTTCTTCAGGTTTACCTGAATGTTCCATTTCTCACAAAATGCGTTCAGCTTGTTTAGCGCACATTGTAACCCTGTTTCCGATTCCGAAAACATCACAACGTCATCTGCATAAAGCAGACAAGATACTAGTAAATTGTGTAAGGTTGGTGGGGCGCAATCAATATTATCTAAGTCATTAACTAGGTCGTTTATGAATATATTAAAGAGGGTTGGACTGAGGTTGCATCCTTGTCTGACTCCTTTGTCAGTAACAAACAATGGTGTGAGGCCGGCTGACGTTTTGACACAAGTTTGTGGGTTGGAGTACATAGATTTGATTAAACTGTAGAATTTACCACCTATTCCTGAGCTGAGTAGTTTATACCGCAGTCCTTCGCGCCAAACGCTATCGAAAGCTTTACGGAAATCGACAAAGCATGCATAAAGACGTTTATTGGCGTTAGTGTATTTAGATATTAATGTATCAATGACGAAGAGGTTGTCGTTAGTTCCAAAGTTTTTCTAAAGTCCGGCCTGGTTAGGGGAAATGAGGTTATGTTCATCTAGGTAATTAGTAAGACGTGTGTTTATTACAGCTGTAAATAACTTAGCGAGGCAACTGATAACTGATATACCCCGATAATTGTTGGGATCTTCTTTAGGTCCACCTTTATGCAGTGGAACGATGTGGCTTACGCGCCATTGTTGGGGAAAGTGTCCGGATAAAAGAAACAAATTGAATAATTTGGTGAGGGGTTTGACAAGGATAGGAGATGCGCATTTTAGCATCTCATTAAGGATAAGATCGTTGCCTGAGGCTTTGTTATTCTTTAATTGGATGATTGCTTGCATGATTTCCTGTTGTTGAATAATAGTATCTAAATTATTAAGGCTTTCGGACTGTTCTTCTAATTCTAATAATTTATTTGCTATCTGAGTTTGGAAATGATTGTTGAATTCTGGGGACTTAGATGTACTGTCTCTTCCGTACAACCCTTGGAAGTGTTCGTGGAGTTCCTGTTTGTTAATTGTGTCTTCTACAGGGATGGAATCATTTGTTTTGAACTGTTTAACCAGCTCCCAAAAGGCTGACGGGTTGCTGCCAGAGTAAGAATTAAGTTGATGGAGGATATTGTTTTTGTAGGTAATTTTAGTTTTACGAATAAGTCTGGTGTATTCTTTCTTTCTTCTAAGATATAGGCCTCTAATAAAAGGGTCCCTGGGATTTTTTGAGAGGAGCTTTCCAAGGTCTTTTAGTTTCTTTCTGGTAGTAGCACAGTTCTCATTAAACCATTTCTTTTTGTTTTTGTGTTTGTGTTTGTTACGGGAATGGGTTGCTTGCCTTGTACGGCGTAGAACTAGTGATTTTTTGCCTGCTTCTTGTAGAGGAGAAACTAGGTCATTCAAGGCGGCATCAAGAGAATTTGGGGTTGCCTCATAGCTCCTGTTGAGAAAGTTTTCCATGGCGGAGGTAAATTCGAGGCTATTTACTATTTCTAGAAACTTTTGTTTGGAGTCAGCTCTCCATACAAATTTACAATGTGGCCGAGTAGACAATGTGTTAGTAGTCTGTTCATAGAGTCGGTTAGCATTGCTATGTAAAATTAGGGAGAGTTTACAATGGTCGGAGAGTGGGGTTAGCGGATGA